GTGTTCCGGGCCGCCATACGTTTGATTGCCCCGGCCAGCTCCTCCTCCGTGACCCCCATTTCGTCGGTCCATTCGACTTGGACCGGCGCGGGGCAGGGGTGGTCGCCCTCGTCACGAGGGAATAACGTGTCCACCACCTGCCCCAGGAACTGGGGATCGAGGCTCTCCGTCACGGGCGGCGCCCTGGGCCTTAGTTTACTCATGGCCCATCTGTAAGGGCGCCCCCACGGATCCTTCTCCAGAGAGCCGAGGAGCTCTTGCCACGCCCGGGATTTGGCCTCTCTGATGGCCTGCTGCAGGGTTACCACTAGCACCCTGTAGCACCCGTACAGCGTTTCCTCCCTCGCTGGGTCGCGGTTCCTTCTCCGACGGGCTCTTTGCCACTGGCGTCGGGCGACGTTACAGTTACGCCAGATGTCGGCGATTTCGCCCGACCACCAATAGGCGGCCCGTCTGGGGAGGCATTTGGCCCGGGGCATAGCAACATCGCATATTGCTTTCATCGTGCCCCGGAACCACTCCACTTCCTCCCCGATATCCGCGACCGGCCCGGCCGGTTGCTCCGGCCAGGTCACAGCGAGGGCTGCGGCCATCAGCGCGTCCCTATCCAGCCTCTTCAGCGCCCATCTCAGCGGTGGCGGGCCACTCGCCGGGCGGCGGTTGGTGGTGGAGTGAAATTCGAGGCGGATGTATCTGTGGTCGCTGAGCGACTCCGCCTCCTCCACCACCCTCCAACTCTGCACCATACGCACCGCCGAGGGAGTCGCGAAAGAGAGATCGACTATCGACTCCCCCTGTGCACGTACGCAGGTGCTAACAGAGCCCCGGTTCAGCAACCGGAGCTCATTTTCCGCCGCCCAGTCGAGCACCGCCTCACCCCTCGCGTCTGTCCTCGGGGACCCCCACGATTTTGCGTGGGAGTTAAAATCCCCGAGAACGAGTGCCGGCCGGGGGTAGCAACGGGAGATCACATCTCCCACCCGGCCTAGGCACTCTTCGAATGACGCGAGGGATAGGCTGGGCGGACAATACATGCCCACCACCGCTATTTCTCCCCACTGCACCGCTACGTAGCCCCGCCCCCGTTCCATTAGTGTTGGGGGCGGGGAAAACGCGGTGCCAATCACGGCCACGGAGCCGACCTCGTCCCCGAACCAGTCGTGTCTATCGGGGACCCTGTACGGCTCCGCGGCCACCGCCAATCCTACTTTCCACTCGGCCAGGTGGTGCAATAATAGGTCTTGCGCCCTGGCCGAGTGGTTCAGATTACTCTGAAGTATGGGCCCTTTGGGCCCCATTACTTTTTAGAGGCTGCCGCCTCCGCGGCTTTACCTCTCCTTGGGGTGGCGGATCTGCCACCCCTCCTCTTCTTTGGCGCAGCAGCCTCAGCTGGCTGCTGCTGCGCCTGTTGGGGGGGTGCTACTTCCCCCTGCTTGGCGCCCTTCTTCTTCTGCCTCTGGGATTTTGGGGCACACGACTTTGCCCCACACCGGTGCCCCGCGGGTCGCCCCAGATCTGTGCATAGGGGGCACCGCGGTGTGGCGCTGCACGAGCTGGCCTTATGGCCACGACTCGCCGCAAACGTAGCAGCGGTCGGACCTGTCCACCTCGCAGGTGCATCGCTGCCTCACGTGGCCTTTCTCGAGGCAGCGGAAGCACTGCAAAGGCCTTGCCGGCAGCGCCTCGACCCTGGCTGACGACCAGCCAACCAGGATCCTCCCAGAGGCGACGATCTTGCGAGCGCCGTCAGGGGGCACCTCGCCCAGACTGTACCCAGCCTGGCCGGGGAGATCCTAATTTCCCCGACCTTCACTTCTGCTGGGGTACAGCCTCCAACAGCCGCAAGGGCGGCTGTAACATCCGCAGGGGACACCGAGTCATCCAAACCGGATACTCGTACCTCGCCCATTTTGACTGGGCGAGATACCCGGACCTCGGTGCCCCGAAACACCCCCTGGAGGCAAACCCTCCAACGCGGTCGCCTTATCCGTCCGCCCCTCTCCTGGAATCTCCAGGACCAGGCCGCCTGTTACCGCCCGTCGTGGTCGAATCTCGGTTATACCGATGGTCTTCAGATCGACCTTTTCGCGGGCGGTGGCCATCACCTCTGCATACGTGACCTTGGCATCTGGTGCCAAGGTCAGGGTGACGGCCCGCTGTCTTCGGCGGCCTGGCAGGCTTCGCCTTTTTTCGCGGCGGGGGCAGGCGCTTTCTTGGGGGGCGCCTTAATTCCCTGTTGCCCCTTCTTCGCCGCTGGCCGCCGGTTGTTGGTGGTGGCCCCTCCTGCTTTTGGGACCTCTTCGCCTTGCGGCCCACCACCGTTGCCCATGTTTCCCCCTGGGCGGCGAGGCGGTCTCTTTCTGGATGCCCGCATCTCGCCTCCAGAGGCGACCTCCTTTTGTTCCAGCCTGGGGTGTGGCCTTCACCTGCCGCTCACCCCCAGGCTTGGGCTTTCGGGGCGGTCTTAAGCCCCTCCAGCCCTCTCCTCCTTCTTGGGGGCGGGTTCTCCCCTACCTTTGGCCGAGAGGACCCCATGAATTCCTCCCTGAGAGAGGAGACTGTTGCATCAGGGCGGCTATGCACACCCTTATGTCCCCTCCTCAGGGTCTACCTTCTCCACCCGTCTAATCTTGGGCACGCTCTTGATTGGGGCGGGTGGTTCCCATCTCCCATCCACGAGGGCCCTGCCACTGGTTTCTGACAGGGCCCCCTCGTCAGGCCGGCTCCTCTTGTTTGCCCCACTCGTTCCAAGAACGGGGAGGCCGATCTAATGGGCCTCTCCGCATGAGCTGGGGCCATAAAGATTGGGGCCTCGACGGCTCCCAAGCGAGCTTTCACCTCCGCGAGCTCTCTGCTAAGGTTGAGCGTCTGCTCAACCTGCTTCGCCAGCTGCTCGTCGCGGAGGCGTAGCTGACGCCTCAGCTCAGCCACCTCGTCCCGCTGCGTTGTCCAGCGCTCCCCTCTTGGCCATCTCGACGTTTGATGGCCCTGATGCGCCGGGCGGCTACTCGAAGGGACCTTTGGCACGTGCCCTTCAGGCCCTTCGAGATGGAGGCGACCCTCTCCACGTCGTCCGTGAGTTCTACGGACTGGGGCCGCCAGCGCGGCCATCGGCTCGTAGCGGGAGCTCCCCTCTCCAGCTCCTCCTGCTCTGGCAGAGGGATGCTGCTCTTGCTTGAAGGGCGGGGCGGAAGGGAGCGGTCCAGAGATCGCTCCTCAGCGCGCAGCTCCAACTCCTTGCGCTTCGCCTCCACCAGCCGCTCCTTGGCCTTAGCCAGGCCGACGTACTCGCCGGTGGTAGGCGGTCTTCCCCTCCTGGTTGTGGGCCTGTCGAGCGAGACGACGGATGCGGATGCGATAGACTCATCAGAGTCATCCCCGCTTTCGCAGGCAGGAGTTCCCCTCCCCGATACCGAGGAACACCTACTCCCACGGGAGGTGGATCCTCCCCTTCTCGCCTCTGGGGGCGGGGGGCAACAAAAAGATTGTTGTTGCCCTCCGTGCTCGTATACACGTCCATCGCTGTGTCCGTGTCCATGGTCAGAGTCCTTGCACTTGCCGTTACCGTCGCCAGTTCATCCCGTCCGTATACGTTTGGTTTTTGTTTTTGAGTTTCATCCATATTTGGTCCCACGAGTGGGTCGGTCCGTGGGTCCACCCGGGCAGAGCCGCCTTACCCGGGTAAGGCTGATACACCCGGGGGGTCGCCAGGTACCCCGGGGTTGGCCGCTACCGACTGATGCACCCATCAGCCACCCCTGGCGCTAACTCCAGGGGCACCCTCCTCACCGCGCACCGCAGCTTGGGGCTAGGGATTTTTTATAGAGGTTGTCATCCTCACGGGCCGGTCAATGAAGACGAGCCCCCCGTTCCAGCGAAACGTGACCACTGGTTTACGGTGTAATTGCTAGGGCACTCCGGGTTCGCTACCCGCACCAGACCGCCACGCAGCCTGGCCCCTGGAGAACTCAACGACGCAGCCGCCACCTTTTCGCCTCTCCGACCCAGGCCTTGCCGGCAAGGGAGGCCCTGCCAGGATCCGAAGATCCCACCGGCATCGCCCCGGGTCATCTGCGAGGCTACTCCGACAGCAGCAAGCGCCCCCCTTTTAGTCGCCTCCTACGACAGGCAGGGGTTACCGTGCCTGTATTCTATCCCCCAGTCACAGGGGAGGTTTTTGATGGGTTTTTCCTTCCTTGGTGTTTGGTCCGCGGGAGCTATTTTATTTCACTCCTACCCTCCATGCACTCCGAAAAGTGCATGGCGAGCATTCCCCTATCCGCCACCTGGGGACGCGCCACGTCGGGGTATCACCTCCCCGCCCAGCCAGTACACTTGGCCAGGTCCGTGGAACCTAACCTAACCTAACCTAACCTAACCTAACCTAACCTAACCTTTTTTTTTTTTTTTTTTTTTTTTATACGTGGAGGAAATCTTCCTAAGACACCTCCCGCCCCCCTGGGGAGGGGCAGGAGGTAGTGTGGGATTTCTACCCACTAAAACCTCCACGGTGACCTGCACTGGGCTGCAGGGAGGGCCCCGGGACCTCTTACGAACACTCCGGGACCCCCCCGCCCTTGGCGCGACTGCGCCCCATCTCGGGGGAGGGTCTAACCTTTGACCCTCCCCCATACGTGCCAACTCCGCCGACGTCGGGGGTCACGCCCGACGCCGGCTACTCCTCGGGCCGCGTGCAATGACGACCGGGGCCCCAGCCCCGGCCGCCTGCGGCCCGGCGGCCCCGCACCATGCTTGCGGGGCCGCCATATCCTTTGATGGGGAGAGGGCAAATCCCTCTCCCCGTCTCCTCCTCTTCTGGGGAAGGCTGGCGCCTCCCCCTAGTCCTCTTCGGGGGAGCCGATGCTCCCCATCCTCTTCTATCGGTGGGGGCGGTGGGCCTGGTATGTAATAGCTTCCACGGCCCACCGCCCCGTCCGCCTCATCTGCTGTTGGCGCCGTCGGGAGGCCTACCCCGACGGCGCGTCCTCCTGCGGGCGGGGTCAGCTCTCCTCCCGACCCCGCTCCGCTTCCTCCTTGAGGGCGATGACCTCCTCACAGAATGAGGTCACCGCCCGCCACTGATCCTCGCCGGAAAGCATGGCTCTCACTACAGCCTCCGGCGAGAGATCAGGGCCTACCTCGCACTCCAGGGCGTGACGGGCCCGCGCAAACACTGGGCAATGCTGCAGTGTGTGCTGCGCGGAGTCCCGCTCCGCCCCGCAGTGGTGGCATATCGGCGTCGCCTCGCGACCTATCCGGCACAGGTAGTCACCGAAGCAGCCGTGCCCGGTGAGTACCTGCGTGGTCCGGTAGGTGACCCTTCCGAAGCCGCGGTCCCGCCATTCGTTGATAACCGGCAGGACCGCCCCGACCGCTCGCTGGCCGGCTGCGCCGCTCTGGATGAGCTCGCGGCGCCACCGGTCCAGGGCATTTTGCCGGGCCTGGTGCCTCCACTCCTGCTCGACCGCCGGCTCTGGCGGTGCCTCGCCCGTCTGGCGGTGGCCGCGCAAGCGCCAATACAACGTGGCGCCGGCCTCCGCCTCGTGCTTAAAAGGCACGACACCCGCCAGAGCCATCGCCCGCCGCGTGGGAGACCGTGCGGTACCCCCTCACGACCCTGATGGCCATCGTCCTCTCTACCCGCCGCAGCACAGCTTGACTGCGACGGGACGCCATCAGGGCCTGGGCCCATATCGGCGACCCATAAAGGGCCATACTCCGCACGATCCCCGTGTAGAGGCGGCGAATCTTCTCGCTAGGCCCCCCCGATGTTGGGCAATATCTGCCCGAGGGCGTTTGTTGCCCTTTCCAATCGGGGGGCCAGACGGTCGAAATGATCCTCGAAGCACCAGTGGCTGTCCAGGTGGAGGCCCAAGTACTTGAAGCCCTTGCCCACCTGGACTCTTGTGTCACCTACCCGGATCCAAAGACTGGGGCGGTGGCGCGACCCCACGCCGAGGCGAGTAATGCCACATCGCCTCGGTTTTGTGGGGTGCTAACTGAAGCCCCAGCCTCCGGATGGTCGCTGCGACGGCAGCCACACCTATCTCCATAAGACGACTGGTCCTGCTCCAGTCCCGGTCGGTGGCAAAGATGTGGGTGTCGTCACAGTAACACCGCACACTTACCCCGTCCGGGACGGCGACCCACAGAGTCTTGTTGTACCCCAGGATCCACAGCGGCGGTCCCAGACGGGACCCCTGGGGTACACCCCTCTCGACGCCCCTCGTGTATATGCGTTCGTCCCGGCCCACATACATAATGTACCTATCCCATAGGTAGTGCCCTATGATCCTCGTCAGGTATGGGGGCGCTTCGTGATCGTTTAGCGCCCCCATTATCGTCCCGTGGGGCAGGGTGTTAAAAGGCGTTCACTATGTCTAGTGAAACGCCCATCCCCACCCCGCCCCTGGACGTGGCCGAGTCGCAACAGGAGCGCAGCGAGTGAATTGCATCGATGGTGCTGCGCCCCTGTCTAAAGCCAAACTGCGACTCGGCCAGATCAGGGCCCACCAGGGATAGGTGCCGGGCGAGGCGGTCAGCTATCACCGCTTCGAACAGCTTCCCGACCTCGTCCAGCAAAACAATGGGCCGGTACGCAGAGGGGCTCTCTGCGGGCCGTCCTTCCTTCTTCAGCAGGACCAGTCGTCCCACCTTCCACTCCCTAGGGAATGTCCCCTCCTTCAGACAGGCGCTGAAGAGGCGCCTCAATCGCGGTCCAAGGACGCGCAGGGCCAATACCCAGGCTCGGCCGGGGATGCCGTCTGGGCCCGGAGCGGTGTTCCGGGCCGCCATACGTTTGATTGCCCCGGCCAGCTCCTCCTCCGTGACCCCCATTTCGTCGGTCCATTCGACTTGGACCGGCGCGGGGCAGGGGTGGTCGCCCTCGTCACGAGGGAATAACGTGTCCACCACCTGCCCCAGGAACTGGGGATCGAGGCTCTCCGTCACGGGCGGCGCCCTGGGCCTTAGTTTACTCATGGCCCATCTGTAAGGGCGCCCCCACGGATCCTTCTCCAGAGAGCCGAGGAGCTCTTGCCACGCCCGGGATTTGGCCTCTCTGATGGCCTGCTGCAGGGTTAGCACTAGCACCCTGTAGCACCCGTACAGCGTTTCCTCCCTCGCTGGGTCGCGGTTCCTTCTCCGACGGGCTCTTTGCCACTGGCGTCGGGCGACGTTACAGTTACGCCAGATGTCGGCGATTTCGCCCGACCACCAATAGGCGGCCCGTCTGGGGAGGCATTTGGCCCGGGGCATAGCAACATCGCATATTGCTTTCATCGTGCCCCGGAACCACTCCACTTCCTCCCCGATATCCGCGACCGGCCCGGCCGGTTGCTCCGGCCAGGTCACAGCGAGGGCTGCGGCCATCAGCGCGTCCCTATCCAGCCTCTTCAGCGCCCATCTCAGCGGTGGCGGGCCACTCGCCGGGCGGCGGTTGGTGGTGGAGTGAAATTCGAGGCGGATGTATCTGTGGTCGCTGAGCGACTCCGCCTCCTCCACCACCCTCCAACTCTGCACCATACGCACCGCCGAGGGAGTCGCGAAAGAGAGATCGACTATCGACTCCCCCTGTGCACGTACGCAGGTGCTAACAGAGCCCCGGTTCAGCAACCGGAGCTCATTTTCCGCCGCCCAGTCGAGCACCGCCTCACCCCTCGCGTCTGTCCTCGGGGACCCCCACGATTTTGCGTGGGAGTTAAAATCCCCGAGAACGAGTGCCGGCCGGGGGGTAGCAACGGGAGATCACATCTCCCACCCGGCCTAGGCACTCTTCGAATGACGCGAGGGATAGGCTGGGCGGACAATACATGCCCACCACCGCTATTTCTCCCCACTGCACCGCTACGTAGCCCCGCCCCCGTTCCATTAGTGTTGGGGGCGGGAAAACGCGGTGCCAATCACGGCCACGGAGCCGACCTCGTCCCCGAACCAGTCGTGTCTATCTGGGACCCTGTACGGCTCCGCGGCCACCGCCAATCCTACTTTCCACTCGGCCAGGTGGTGCAATAATAGGTCTTGCGCCCTGGCCGAGTGGTTCAGATTACTCTGAAGTATGGGCCCTTTGGGCCCCATACTTTTTAGAGGCTGCCGCCTCCGCGGCTTTACCTCTCCTTGGGGTGGCAGATCTGCCACCCCTCCTCTTCTTTGGCGCAGCAGCCTCAGCTGGCTGCTGCTGCGCCTGTTGGGGGGGTGCTACTTCCCCCTGCTTGGCGCCCTTCTTCTTCTGCCTCTGGGATTGAGGGCACACGACTTTGCCCCCAACCGGTGCCCCGCGGGTCGCCCCAGATCTGTGCATAGGGGGCACCGCGGTGTGGCGCTGCACGAGCTGGCCTTATGGCCCGACTCGCCGCAAACGTAGCAGCGGTCGGACCTGTCCACCTCGCAGGTGCATCGCTGCCTCACGTGGCCTTTCTCGAGGCAGCGGAAGCACTGCAAAGGCCTTGCCGGCAGCGCCTCGACCCTGGCTGACGACCAGCCAACCAGGATCCTCCCAGAGGCGACGATCTTGCCGAGCGCCGTCAGGGGGCACCTCGCCCAGACTGTCCCCAGCCTGGCCGGGGAGATCCTAATTTCCCCGACCTTCACTTCTGCTGGGGTACAGCCTCCAACAGCCGCAAGGGCGGCTGTAACATCCGCAGGGGACACCGAGTCATCCAAACCGGATACTCGTACCTCGCCCATTTTGACTGGGCGAGATACCCGGACCTCGGTGCCCCGAAACACCCCCTGGAGGCAACCCTCCAACGCGGTCGCCTTATCCGTCCGCCCCTCTCCTGGAATCTCCAGGACCAGGCCGCCTGTTACCGCCCGTCGTGGTCGAATCTCGGTTATACCGATGGTCTTCAGATCGACCTTTTCGCGGGCGGTGGCCATCACCTCTGCATACGTGACCTTGGCATCTGGTGCCAAGGTCAGGGTGACGGCCGCTGTCTTCGGCGGCCTGGCAGGCTTCGCCTTTTTCGCGGCGGGGGCAGGCGCTTTCTTGGGGGGCGCCTTAGTTCCCTGTTGCCCCTTCTTCGCCGCTGGTCCGCCGGTTGTTGGTGGTGGCCCCTCCTGTTTTTGGGACCTCTTCGCCTTGCGGCCCACCACCGTTGCCCATGTTTCCCCCTGGGCGGCGAGGCGGGTCTCTTCCTGGATGCCCCGCATCCTCGCCTCCAGAGGCGACTCCTTTGTTCCAGCCTGGGGTGTGGCCTTCACCTGCCGCTCACCCTTAGGCTTGGGCTTCGGGGCGGGCTTAGCCCCTCCAGCCCTCTCCTCCTTCTTTGGGGGCGGGTTCTCCCTACCTTTGGCCGAGAGGACCCCCATGAATTCCTCCCTGAGAGAGGAGACCTGTTGCATCAGGGCGGCTATGCACACCCTTATGTCCCCTCCCTCAGGGTCTACCTTCTCCACCCGTCTAATTTTGGGCACGCTCTTGATTGGGGCGGGTGGTTCCATCTCCATCCACGAGGGCCCTGCCACTGGTTCTGACAGGGCCCCCTCGTCAGGCCGGCTCCTCTTGTTTGCCCCCACTCGTTCCAAGAACGGGGAGGCCAATCTAATGGGCCTCTCCGCATGAGCTGGGGCCATAAAGATTGGGGCCTCGACGGCTCCCAAGCGAGCTTTCACCTCCGCGAGCTCTCTGCTAAGGTTGAGCGTCTGCTCAACCTGCTTCGCCAGCTGCTCGTCGCGGAGGCGTAGCTGACGCCTCAGCTCAGCCACCTCGTCCGCTGCGTTGTCCAGCGCTCCCCTCTTGGCCATCTCGACGTTGATGGCCCTGATGCGCCGGGCGGCTACTCGAAGGGACCTTTGGCACGTGCCCTTCAGGCCCTTCGAGATGGAGGCGACCCTCTCCACGTCGTCCGTGAGTTCTAGGGACTGGGCCGCCAGCGCGGCCATCGGCTCGTAGCGGAGCTCCCTCTCCAGCTCCTCCTGCTCTGGCAGAGGGATGCTGCTCTTGCTTGAAGGGCGGGGCGGAAGGGAGCGGTCCAGAGATCGCTCCTCAGCGCGCAGCTCCAACTCCTTGCGCTTCGCCTCCACCAGCCGCTCCTTGGCCTTAGCCAGGCCGACGTACTCGCCGGTGGTAGGCGGTCTTCCCCTCCTGGTTGTGGGCCTGTCGAGCGAGACGACGGATGCGGATGCGATAGACTCATCAGAGTCATCCCCGCTTTCGCAGGCAGGAGTTCCCCTCCCCGATACCGAGGAACACCTACTCCCACGGGAGGTGGATCCTCCCCTTCTCGCCCTCTGGGGGCGGGGAGCAACAAAAAGATTGTTGTTGCCCTCCGTGCTCGTATACACGTCCATCGCTGTGTCCGTGTCCATGGTCAGAGTCCTTGCACTTGCCGTTACCGTCGCCAGTTCATCCCGTCCGTATACGTTTGGTTTTTGTTTTTGAGTTTCATCCATAGTTGGTCCCACGAGTGGGTCGGTCCGTGGGTCCACCCGGGCAGAGCCGCCTTACCCGGGTAAGGCTGATACACCCGGGGGGTCGCCAGGTACCCCGGGGTTGGCCGCTACCGACTGATGCACCCATCAGCCACCCCTGGCGCTAACTCCAGGGGCACCCTCCTCACCGCGCACCGCAGCTTGG